AAACCCTTAGCTTTGTATCAGAATTGCGTGACAAACGCTATTTTTAATTATGTATAATTTTATTTTTATTGTATTTGGCCAAAAACGCTATTTTTAATTATGTACGTATAATTATATTTTTATTGTATTTGGCCAAAAACGCTATTTTTAATTATGTACGTATAATTTTATTTTTATTGTATTCGGTTCAACTTATAATAAAATGATGAAGAATGTTCTGTTGGAACCATAAACTTCCTACCTATATAACTAGAATTATAAGAATAATTTATATTCAATAGAAGACTTTTAGTTCTTATCCCCATTAATAAAATTTTCACTGAAATATTCATACGAAAATTAATTATATATATCATTAAAATACCAATAAAGAAAAATTTATTGTAATATTTTTATTTTGAATTTTATGTTGGAATTAGATAGATATATTTTTTTAGTGTTTTGGTTCTCACGATTAACACTTCAGAGCTTGTTATTATTAGAATCTACGTATATCCCCTCCCCTATATATTAATTCAGAACGTGCTGCTGTTTCTGGTGCTTCGGAATCATATGTGGCAAAATTACATGCTTCGTTATTAAGTTTTTACTTGGGTAAATTTTAATAATTTAATTCCAAACCAAAAATAAGTAGGTTCGGATTACCATAAATATGTTGATTATTTATGATCATGTTACATGTATTAATTGCATTTTAATATCATTCCTTATTATAACTATTGGATTGTATATGTATTTTAAAAGTTAATAACTTTTGTATTTTTTATCAGTTTTACATATGTAATATATCAAATTAATCTTCTTTTGATGAGTTTCGATTTAACATCCATATTGTATGTATAAAAACAATTAATTAATTTTTATCTTTATAACAATAATAAAATTATTTTTAATATTAATTAGAAAAATAAAATTATTTATCAACTAATATATTTATATTTCAAGTAGTTATATGATATAAGTTATAAAAACTAATATAATATAACACATGTAAGTCATAAGTAACACATATCATTCTAAAATATATAGTAATATATATTATTTTTCTTGTAAAAAAGTAAACTAAATTTAATATAGTTTTCTCATTAATTTTAAAATTTAAGAATAATTTTTTAACAAGCACGAGTGTTGTACTAGTGTACATTATTTAAAAAAATTAAATTAGTAAAACATTGTTTTTATTAACGAGATCTCACTTAAATAACTAGTATTAATTAAGTTTTAATAAAATAAAAATTATATATATATATTTAACTATTAAAATGATCAGATTTCATCATCATCTGTTGAACAAAATGAAGTAAGTAAGTTGACCCGTTATTAAAATATCTAATCATGTGATTGATGCCTAGTTCAATTTCTCACGCAATTTAGTATCTTATGCTAATCCTTAATAATAGAGAAAAATTAATTACTTATTAGGGTTTCTTTAAATTAACTTTATCATTAGTCAAT